CACAGAGCCGTTGTTCACCGACAAGCTGCGCAAAACATGCGCAAAATATGATCGTGGTTTTGCGTAGCTTGTCAGTGAACAATGGCTCTGTGTAGTTAATGCTGCTCCATGTGAAAGCCTGCAGGTGATGGAGATTTACCGCTGATTAAAGAACCGGCTTTACTGACAAGATGCGCGTTAAATATCGCATGCGATTTATCGAGCAACCCTAATTCAAATGCTCCGCACTTCACCCAAATTTAAAAGCTGCTGTTGGTTAATGAAGATTTAACGAAAGAACCTGCGGCTCAATTGGACTCTTGTCGTCTCAGAAAGTGATAAGACTTTCAGTTTTATGGACGTCGCCATCTTTGATTTTACTTTGGTCACTGTCGCTATGGTTACTGGTAAGGAATACGGGCTTGACTCCCATTGCACGTTCATACAGACAGTATTCTAAACACAACTGTAAGCTGCTGTGTGAACGGGACATTTCGAGACTCACACCTGTAAAGAAATGCGGTTGTCATTCCTGAAAACTGACAGTGTGAACGTAGCCTAATACTACTCCACATAAACAACAGACATGTTGCTGGAATCTCATGGAACCTCAACAGTGCCATACTGAAGTTTGAAGTTCAAAATCACTTCTAGTCACATGACCAGGTGCTGCCCAACACTAGAGCTAATCTCAAGTGAAACGGATGCTGACCATGTGGGTCTGAAATAAGGGGGACCTAACTTCTAAGAATATCCATCTCTGCCTTGCTGTTCTTGACCTCCACCAGTTGAGCATGACACAACAAGTCCATGAGGTTTAAAAGAAAGCAATTTGACCTACTAGAATGAGGCCACAAGACCACCACAACACTCTCTTTTCTCAGTCCCCCATTTATCTCCCACTCTCTCATTCCCCTCCTAACTCTCCTTCTCACGTCCCGTGAGCCCCAGCCCTGCTGATTGTAGACCCCCTTTGTGTGCTCACAATAGGTAAAGAATCCTGTCTCCTGGCAACGTTGGGGATAAACGAAAAGGGGGAAGGTAATGCAGATAAAGAGTGAGAGATACAAACAAAAAAAAAGTGGGGGAGGCTGAGTGAGAGGAGAGTAATGTCTTGGTGTGGACAGAAAGAGAGTGAATGTAAACAAAAGACTAACAGCTATGGGATTTACAATCAGCTTTAAATTGCAGAACACAATTACAATCAGTTGCAGATCAGAAAAACCCATTTGCTGCGTCCCAATTTGCCTACTTATACTATGCCCTAAAAGTAGGTACTGTTTTTGTGAAGAAGTAGTACATACTTTTGAGTATGTAGCAGAATAGTAGGCAAGCTTTGGGACATACTACTTCGTCATAACTGCGTCTTTAACGGACGCTCTGTTGCTTAGTTACGTACATCCTGTCACTATTTAAACTGCACTGTCAATCATCTTGTCAAAGTTAACATTATCCATATTTTGTTTAATTTCCTACCGTATTGGAGAGAAATGAAGAGGCATGTTGATCTGCCAGTCGCGGGTCTACCATGCTGAGAACTCTGCTCATATGTTTGCATAATGATGCATTTAAAACCAAACGTATCATTATAAAGTTCACAGTGTTGCTGCAGATGAAATATAACGCGGATAACATTAAATAAATATTTTTATTTAATATGTTTGCATAATGTTGCATTTTAAAACCAAACGTATCATTCTAAAGTTCACAGTGTTGCTGCAGATGAAATATAACGCGGATAACATTAAATAAATATTTTTTCAACAGGTTAGATATTGATGATTTATCACTCAAACCCCTTTCTCTACCTGTCTGTCGGTCTTGCATATCCGCCATTTTGTAGTTTTTTTTAACACTTTTCATGCGTGCTTGTAGTTCTAATCGAATCAGTGTCCACCG